AGCTGTAAAGAGTACTGCAAGGACAGGTTCATACCAGGTTGGGGTTTTAGTGACATTTTCCTGACCACTCTTGGATGTATGATGAGTTAAAAACTACACTAGAGTATTTGAAAATATTTGTGTGCGTGTGTGTGTATGCTGGACACGTGATCTTTTTTTTTTTTTTTCCCTGTGAAGCATGAGGGTGTTTACCATTGTGTTTATTACTGTAGCCTGGTCTGTCAGGGTTTGTTTTTGTTTTGTTTGTTTTGTTTTTGTAACTGTTCTTTGCTAATAAGCAAGTGGTCCTTAATCCACGCTGTGGTCCGAATACAGTATTTGTCAGGCCTCCTGCTGTAGAAGTGAAGTTTTGAATTACAGTAGTGAAGTGGGAAGTAAGGTCACCCCGACAGTTGGACGTGCTCTTTGGGAGGCCAAGTAGTGTCAGATCACAGCAGCAGATCTGCTCCAAACATGTCATCCTGTCATTCATTTCCATACTTCCAAAAATGTTATGGATGTCTCCATTTGAATGAGCCTTGTGCACATAGCTGCCAGCCACAACTTCCTTGTTTTTCCCCAGAGTCTTCTGATCCTTTTTCAGGAGGTTTTGGAGGGAGGAATTGGACATAAAAGTGGATTGTTCAGTGTTGAGTTGAAGGAAACTAAACGATTGTGGATACGCAGAATACTTTAAGAGATCCCTTGTCCATAGTGTTGTTGCACACAGACCATTAACTGGCTTACAAGGAAACAAAGATGACCTTAGTATGAGGAAATCTAACATCTCCAGTTACAAGTGAACAAAGTCAACATTGCTATCCTCCTTCTGAAGTCTCTAATCAACCTTATTATCGTAGAAAAGAGGGATTTATTTTAGAGAGCACCTACATTTCTAGTATTACCTTACACTCAGTAGTAATAATATTTAATATTTGCTCTAGCATCGCAGTCATTGTTCTAGAGGTCTTAATAATTTTGTATAGACTGGTCCTCTTGACTTTGATTTTATGTTCTCTCAGGTGATCTGGCTCCCAAAACTCTGGGTAAAAACTATGGACTGCATTAAATATTCAGCAACTTTATGGATACAGATTTTTACATTATTTTACACAGAAATTACATTCTACAAATCTTCATATTTCTTTATTTTTATTAAACTGTCTCGTTTTCAATGTTCATCTTAACATCTGTGTTCCCAAATTATTTTCTAACATTCCTTAAAGAAGCTTTGTGTGTGTGTGTGTGTGTAAAGCTTAATCTTAGTGTGTTTGGGTAGAGTGCAATTTGAATGACAAAATTAGACTCCTGCTACATCACAGCAAAGCCATCATTTAAATCTTTTGTCATCAAAGCATGTGCTTTTTTTTAATCAGCTGGTAGCTGTGCAGCATTTCAGCTGTTTCCTATTGATGCTGACACGTAAATGTGGAAACAGATTATTTTTATGAACCTTTGGCTTCCAGCTGACAGTAGACTCATATTGATGTGGGCACCGAGTGCAAAATGCTTGTACGGAAAACACGTTCGCTAACACTTTCTGTTCTTGATGCATCATTCCACAACTTAAGATGACAGACCACGGCTAATTGTAAATCGTCTTTCTTGTAATTTTTCCCTCCAACCCTCTCGTGGAGTCGTGAATGAGTATAAACATTGAGTCTTTACATGGGGAAAACTGGATCGTCCTTAATATATCCAGACCTGGCCTCCCAAAGGTGTCAAAAGCAGCAAGATCTGATGATGGTTTTTAATTAAACCAAGATGTAACTCAGATATTCCTTTGGTTAACCAGGCTCTGCACCAAACCCCGGGCTTTCAGTGACTGTAGTTGGTACCGTGTGTGCATTATGTTTATGTGATGGTGATCAGAGAATAAGTCATTGTTTTTTGACATTGTGTACAATAATAAAACAGATCGTCCTTCTGGCTTCATAAATGTCCTTGAGAAAATAAAATGTTCCAATCAAGGTTTGTTGGATTTGTTTCTGATTTAGATTCCTATTTATGTTGTGGGTTTGTCAGTGTTGTGTCCTAAACAGTGCTGTGTGTGTACTGCTGTATGTGACCTCTGCCACCAACGCTTGCCTTGCCTCCTGCTGTGTTTACTTGCTTCCACTAGATGGAGCAGTAAACCACAAAATCTGTCTTCCTGATGGAAGTGGTGCTGTACACACTGGCAGTGGGGCTAATATCTGCTGTAATATCCATCTGTGTAGCTGCAAGGTTATAGTGTGAAATTATTATCATAGCATTAGTGTAGAAGGCGTTAATCTATCTGAAACTGGTCATTATGCTTTTTAAAATATATTATTGTCCCTTTGCAGTTGACTGCAGAAGACCCCATATACAGTAATTAAGACCCCTTGTGAATATCATTGTGATGCCAGATGTTTTTGAATCATTTTCCACTCATGGCTTATTCCCATTTAAAGAGTCTTTAAACAATGATAATAATTTTATTTAGATTTTATTTTTTCAAAACACACAAAAACACTAAACAGAAGTACATAAGACAATCATTCTAAAATATATACAATCTTAAAATCCAATAAACTAATTCAACAAATATTAAGGATGTCTTTGTCTACAGAGACCCTCTAACCAATTTGTCAATTAATTAAATAAGAGGGGGCAGCTCTACTAACTACAGAGCTTTAAAGGTGTCCATATGCATTTCAATAAACATTTAAGGTAGAGTTAGCATGTGTTATGTCTGTATATTTGAATATGTTTTAACAATGACCAATGGTGTATTCCCATTTTAATGAGACCATTTAAAACAATCAACTTAATGTAAAATATAAATCATCTGAGTCAACTAAGTCAACTGATGATAAAAAAGGACAAAAATTTACAAAATGTCACAGAACACATTTAGAAATTGATGTTTAGAGTTGAAGAGCGTTAAACAACACTTTTAAGGTTGTTTATGTCTGTGTATTTAGACACATTTGTACATAACTTCCCTTTTGAAGCACTGTTTAACATCTGCATTGAAAAGTACAAGATAAACAAACTTTGCTTTGTTATTAGAAGTTTTAATAACGTTTTAATAAAGTTTTAATAAACCATATTTGGGAATATCATTGTGATGCCAGGAATAAGCAGTAAAATACAGTCTTAGTCAAAGACCAATGATCAATTGGTCAACTAACTGAGTAAAACAGAGCAACCATACAAACCTTTAAAATATGATCATCAAAGTTTTAAAAAATAATCCGAGAAACAAAAACAAAAAGTATAACGTGGAGAGTTTTATGTTTATTTATTTGTCTGAAACAATTTAATTTGTTATGAAATAATAATAATCATTGTTTAAAACTCATATTATTATCTCCCTGTGTGTCCATGAGAGAAAAGTAGATTATCAAATTACCACCTTCCCTGGTATGAGAGGAGCAGGATAAAGAAAAAAAAAAGGAAAAAAAAGAAAACGAGATTCTGAACCATCCGGGCTTCCGTAGGCAGCAGGGAGCGAAGGGACCTGCTCGCTGCCTCAGCCTGAGAGCATCCTTTTTCTTTGCCTTCTTCTCATCCTTACCAAAACACAGCGGGATGGCGGAAAAATATGAGGATAGCGTCTCCGTACTCTCCGGTTTGCGGTAGACTACCGTTGCGGGGTTACGGTAGCCGGTTTGGAGAGGGGGGGTGGGTGGGTGGGGGGGGCCGGGGGGGGAAAGGCTAGCGTAATGCTACACAACATGAGGCTTTTTCCCCCTGATGAAGAGCCTGTCTGTGGAAACGAAGAGAATATAGTTATCCCTATGAGAGCGAGCTGGGCTGAGCCTTAAGCTTTTACTGTGTATTTTATTTTTTATTTATTTTACAAACATTTTGGGCAACACACTGCTCATTCACAGTTGTTTTTTTTTTTTTTTTTGGTATGTTTTAATCTCTCTTCCCTCCTCGGCTGACTGAAACCAGCGGTGCTCCTGTAAAGAAGAAGATGCACGGATAGATAGAAGTGCTCTCGCATGACAACATGAAGGTAGGATGCTCTTGCTTTTCCTCTCTGCTTCCCGGGACGCATTGTTTCATTCAGCATCGCTTGCACGCTTTTCCTTTGTTTCCATCCGTCCTCCGCACATTTTCATCCCGCACATTTCATCCCTTTCTGCTGTGAATATCGTGGGGAGTGTGGTAGCAACGCACTGCCCCCTACCCCTCTTTTGTTATCATGCACATTTCCATCTCTTTCTTTTCTTTTTTTTTTTTTTTTTACACCCGCCATACTAGGCTCCCCCCCCACTCCTCAGCCTCCCTGCACTCACTGTTTATCCTACAGTAAAAGAAACCATCAGCTGCACACAAGGCTGCTGAGAGGAATATTCAACCATGCATTTGGGTCCAATTTGGAGCTTTTAAATCTTTGAAAACCCACTTTTTTTTGCATTCTTTTTTTTTACAGCAGTTGTCTGAATATTGCTGGCTCTGTTTTTCTCTGCCCTCCCACCACACAGTTTTAAAGAGAGGATGCAAAGTCTGTGGCCTGCAGCATCTCTGGTCTTATGGTGTTGTCACAGCACACTAAGAGCAAAGAGTGCCAGTGTGCACAGCCAGTGTTACGCTGGGGAAATGAGAGAGAGAGAAAGGAGGGGAGGTTTGGCGCTTCTTCATCATGATGCTTAACCTAACCAGGCGTTTACACAGAAGCTCCGTAGCCAGACCATAATCCAATCTGACATGTCTCTCATTTATGACACAGTATCTCTGTAGGGCTACTGCTATAGAGGCTATATAGGAGCAAGTGGACTGGAACTACTTCGCTTTGTGCTCCGAGTTGTCCAGTGCAGAGTCGCCTTTGGTGGAGTGAGTGAGCGAGTTTACCATTTTCCTTTTGATGTATTGTACTGGGGGGAAAAAAACCCCCAAACATGTATTGTGCAAAACATCTGATCTTGTTGTGTTGAGGCCATGTGTTATTTGTCTCCAGAGCTATTTAGTGAGGTTTTTTTCACTGTGATTCAGCGTCAGTGTCAACATCTGTACTCATATTTATGGTTGAAGAGTTGCTTTAGAGCTAGAAGTGAGGCTAGATAGCAGTAGGAGTAGTACCATTACTGATTCATCTGCTGTTATTATTTTCTGGATTAATCATTCTATAAAATGTCAGAAAATAGTGAGAAATGTGGCGTTTCTGAAAGTGGCGTTATTAAATTAACTAAAAGAAAGTACGTTTTTCCACTTGACAGAACAATCTCAGCTCAAGGACCAGTTCGCTCGCTCGTTCTGGAGCTTTTAACTGTATCACATCGTCCTCCTCGTGTCATCTCAGTTGCCGTGCATTGATTGGCTTCTTTCACTGAAGACTTTTTTGACATGTCAGAGTCGGGGGAAAAAAAGCAGGTGTGAGTAATACAGTAAATGTTGGCTGTATTCCAGTGAGCTGCTTCAGTTTCAGGGTCCTGGTATTGTGCGCAGCAGAGCCATCGTTGTTATCAGTAACACCTGTGCTTTTTACCCAGTATGACAAGTGACAAAAGGCCCATGAATGTTATTGACTGTGTGATACACTTGAAAGCTCCAGAACAAGCAGGTAAGTGGACTTTGAGTGGGCATTGTTTTAGTATTTATATACGAAAGCACGTATCTTAGTCCAGTTAAGTTCACTCGTGTGCAGTGATAGCGCAGAAACAACTTTTGACCATCTGCTGTGAAAACCTGTGTAATCTGTGACTTGACTCGAGGCTGATCAGATAGCAGAGAGGTGGTTATGGCATCGGGGTCTGTAATTACAGGTGACAGGGTGGTCTTTTTATTTATTATTATATTAATTTGTGTGTGTGTGTGTGTGTGTGTGTGTGTGGTGGAGGATCTTCCTGCAGGTGTACAGGTTCTCTATCGATTGGTTATCACATGATGTGTCTCTTTTTAAGAAGAAAGCTAACTACTGTCAACAATCATTTGCTGTTTTTGTCCTGACATTGTTTTTTAAGGAAATACAGACGTAGGTGGCGTCTCTGGTTATTAAAGGCTGTCCTGGAACTAGAAGGTCACACAGGTTCATTTAGGGCTACAGCTGTTTTTTAATTCCTTAATTACTACGTTTGTGTGTAAAGTCTTTCGTACGTTGCTAGGAAACCTTTTTCAGGACACAGGAAGTCACAAACTGTCACACAACTGCCCAAACTAGGTTTTAGGTGAGCTAGCGATATATAAACTTGACTGCCAATACTTTATAAATGTAGGTATGACTTTGTTTTATTTAATATGTGGAAAAATAAGTGTTTTAGGTTTGGTTGTATTCATACAGTTTTGCATGAGCGGGAAATATCCGATTATGCTAAGCTAACTGATGCTATTTAGCCATTTAGTCTAACTATATTAGAATAATGTTTGTACTTTGAGGTATATTGTGTTATTTATGTAAAATGTAATTAAATATTTCTATGTTACATGTTATTAAATCATATTTTGACAAAGTCTGAGGTTGTCGTACTATATATAAGCAAGCTAACGTTAGCTATGCAACAGTTATGTAATAAATATTTAGTAGAAATGAATCTATAAGTACAAACTGGCTTATTTACTGCAAACTGTTTTCATTTAGTGATGTGTAAATCTCCACTTAGTTAACACTTCCAGAAGCTAACGTAAAAACTTCATGTGTTTCTGTTCCAAGGGCACTAATTTCTAAGTAGAGGCGATATCATAGTGGTATTTTTATTAACTTAAATCTGCTCTACTGTGCTGTTCATGAGCTCTGACTGAGGTTTAATATATTTTTATGATGAGAAGAAACCTCTGGACACACCTTTTGGTAAATACGTTTTTTTTTAATCCAAACACAGCCTCCCGTGTGCTGCAGCTTTGGTTGACTGGAGCATGTTACTGTTGAGTGTTTGGATGCTGCGATCAGGTCCTCCATTGTCATTCTTCTTTTACGAGGAGTGTACCGCTGTGGGTGAACTCACTTCCATCTTTCATGAAGCTCAGTCAAGTAAAGCAGTGAAGACCAAGCAGCGTGTTTCACATTGTCTTCCTCAGGTTCACCCATTCTCCTCACCTTGCCGGTCCTGACAGCACAGACGATCGCTCTTTCGTGTTGGAATTTGTTGTCATGGGAACTGTGTGTGTGTGTGTGTGTGTTTGTGTGTGTGGTTTTAAGTGTCTTTTGTTGTCTACATTTCTTAACTTTTTCCTTTCTTTAGCGTCAGAAGTAAAGGTCAAACTACCAACCTCAGTTCATTACTGCATTAGTGCAGTTTTATTCAGTTCTACGTAGAGATCTCCTGAGTTGATCCTCGTATCGGTGCCAGTTCGATAATTCCTTGATGGAACCTCATTCGTCTCTTTAGCTGATCACGTCACGTCAGTTATGGGAGTCAAATTCTCTCAGTTAATGTTTCAGTCATATCGTATCAATAATTTAAGCTAGTAAATGTCATGTTTATAATTAGGACCATTACTACTTGGATCAAGAAGCTTGTGAAAAGTAGAGTGTGTCAGATTAAGTAGCTACAGTTTCAAGTTCAGTATGTCAAATACATATTTAATCAACATTTAAGTAAATCTAAATATCAGATCGGACTCCGTATCAAAGGAGTCGGATTACAATGGCGGCTATAAAACACTTGATCAGGAAATCCCATTTTTTAAAATCTTGTATTCTACCTGTCAGCGCAAAACAGTTTGGACTGTTATTGTTATTTTATTTAATAAAGTAAACCCAGCTTCAATCTGACTAGAGGTTTTAATCAGCCAAGCGGTGGAAATCACCTGTGGGGAGCCCCTGTGGCTTAAGATGCCGACCATGAATCACAATGTTCCCGATTTTGAATTTGGGCATTGTTGCATCTGTCTTTCTGCCTAGTTTCCTGTCATGACGCCACTATCTCTATCTAATAAGAGGCACAAAATGCCCCACATCCCCATAGGGGGACAGTGCTGTTTAAAGAAATACTTTGACATTTTGGCTGGTTGCCTGGCAACCTCACTGTGGTGACATTCCAGATAGCCGCTGCTTCCGGACCAAAGAAATAGTCCCGCACATAACCTCCCCCCTTCCCCATAAAAACAACACGTTGTCTTTTTCACTTTGGTTTCGTACATATTAAAGAAACGAGATCTAATGTGGTAATTAGTGAGTTTTAGAGTTTATTCCCTGTGGAGAGAGACAGTGCAGCTGTTTCCCCCTGCGACCTGTCTTTGTGCAAAGCTAACCTGCTGCTAAGACTGCAGCTTCATAATTAATGGACAGACATGAGAGTGGTATCGATCTTCTAATGGATGGCAAATAAGCCCAAAATGTCAAACTATTCCTGTTAAGCTGTTGGAGTTGTCTTATTGCAGACAACTGCAGAAGACGACCCCCTCCTAGGCAATGAAACAGTGAGCAAAGCCTGAACAACAGCCCCATGAGCAGATAACTAATCAGGTACAGATCAAATGTTGATACCAGATGTAATGGGTTATTACAGAATAACCTGACAGGCCAGTATAAATTCTTAATATTCAAATTATAATGCAAGGGAGCTTCACTAGTCACTATTATAGGTGTATCTTCAGTTCACCCTTATTCTACCTTTCTGTTCAACATGACTGCACATACTGGGATACATGTTGTTATCTTCCTCAAACACTCCAGCTATTCAGTTAACAGAGTTACAAAAGAAAAGCATTGAAGGACACAGGTTGATTAACTCAAGAGCCATTGAAAGTGTAATTGGACAGTAGTGGCCTTAAGCCTCATGTCCCACTGATGTATTAAGCAAAAAAAAAAAAAAGGCAGTCATTTATATAAACTGTCTTTAAAACCCCTTACCAAATCCTCATCTCACTCCCTCTACCCACAATCCTTCCCTCACTTCCTTCCGCTGAAGCACTTCATTTATTTCTTTGCTCTGTTGCCAATTGAGCAGCTGGATCAGAGCGAGAGAGAGAGAGAGAGAGAGAGAGAGAGGGAGGGAGACATAGAGGAAGAGGACAGAGAGAGAGAGAGAGAGAGATGATGTTTCCACTGTAGTCTTTGGATCTGTGTTGCTACAGACGGGACTTTGTTGTATTTGCATAAGGCGAGAGCAGCCTGCATGCTGAGAAACAGCAGACATAACATTGGGGGAGAATTCCTCGAACGGCTTTCGGCATCTGACTTAACGTGAAAACACTTTCCCAGCATCGGGAGTGCCATCTAATACCTTCCTCTGATGCAATATTTCATTGATTTTTTTTCTGTTTCTTGTCAGGTTTGTCTGGCAAAACAAATAGGCAAAAAAAAAAAGAAAAGGGAAAAACATAGCTAGTCACTTGTTCTTTGGTGAGAGAAAGCCAAAGAAAAAAAGAGTAAGAGAGGCAATGTGATATCTGATATATTTTAACCGCCCAACCTCCTTCAGATCAGAGACAGCTGAGAGGCAATTTAATATCCGCATGGGCAGAGCTGAGTAGAAAAGGGTTGAGCAGAGAGAACACCGGAGTTTTGTTCTGTTTTGCTTTTACTCTCTTTTCAAATTTTGCTCTTTTCTTTGCTATTCAGTCCTGTTTTTAGCTTGATGTCTTTGTAGATGCATTAAAAGTCTACAGGCTTCACTGGGTACAATGTGTCTGTCAGAATAATCATTCACTCATTCACTATTCCTTGCAAATTAAACACTTTAATAGTTCATTTTATAGTGAGCAGAGCAGTGAATCGTCATTTTCGCAGGTTTAGTGTCACATTGATGTAATTTTGGGAAGCAGGGCAGTGTACATACCATGGACAATGTTTCTTTTGTTCCATTTGAGGAAATGACAGGAAGTAAATGGTAGAGCCCGGCTGATATGTTGGCCTATTCTATCCGTATCTGATATTCAATTTGGATATTGCACTATAACTATATGATTTTGATAACATGATGGGGTAGAATTGGTCATTCCTCTCCTCTCCTCTCCTCTCCTCTCTGTGTGTCTTTGAGCAGAGGCTGACGGGGGGAGGGCAGAGGTCAGAGTCACTCTCATTTACCACTCTTCTCCTGGCTTCACTTCTCTTATTTTCCACTATTTATTTGCTCTTTACTCTCTCTCTCTCTCTTCCTCTCAGCAGCAAACTGAACTCTTTTACGTACGCTTTTCTGTCTTTGTTTCATATTTGTATGTAAAAAAAGAAAAATAGGCCTTTGTATTGAATTTGCATAAACAAACAAGTGCAAATCATGAACTGCCAGTATAAACCTGGCTCAGTGTAAAGACAGTGTCGTCTCAATCCTACCTTCAGGCAGAACAGACTTGTGATTTTGCGTGCACCCCTGACAGCAAAGTAGAGATGCTTGTTATTGATCATGTAATCTACACTTTGGCCGTAAGTTATCAGGCCCATCTCGTGGGACAAATCAAAGGTTATCATCGGACAACTTTCTGCCGCAGGCTCCACTTCTGGCTTCCCTAAGGTTTCCTCTGTGGCTTTACTGAAGCTGATAAACATGAGGCTGGTGATTTTTAAAATAAATCTGACTTTCAGTTGATCACCTGTCTCTGATCTCTGTTTGTGTTGCTTGAACTACAATTTCTCCCCTCTTTGTGCCATAAAGCAATCGAGCAGCTATACATTAAAATGTAAAT